CGGTGGCCTCTCTGTTGTGTGGGACAGATCCCCGCGAGCTTTAGCGGGGGAGTGCAGGCAGGCTGCCGAAGAGGCGCCCGGAGACAGGCAAGGCGTGGGATGAGGCGATGCTGGGAGCGGTGGAGGAACTGGGCTTTCTCCTGTCCTGTGCAAATCCATCCCCTGATTGCCTCCCACCTGTGGGCGCTGCCGGCCTGGGGTTTGTTCGGATCCGGACCGTAGCGTGGGCTGTGTTCGTCGGCTCCCGGCACGCTGCGGCACGTTGGAAGCGTCGCCCTGGCCTCGTGCGCCCAACGTGGGCAAAGCCGCGTGGTTTCTCAAATCCTGCACGGGCGGCTGAGTCACTGCCCCGGCTGAACGCGGCGATCCGGGGCTTGTGTGCTCACAGCGCGAGGATGTGTCTGTGTGTCTGCGGGAGCCCTGGGCCCGGGCCAGCCATCCTCTCGTGGGAGGAGGGATCGCTCCGAGCCATGTCAGGAAGGGCTTGCGCCTGCTTGCACTTGCTGTAGGAGGCTGGGGGAGAGAGAAGCTTCTCCAAAGGTAACTTTCTTATTTTCCTTCATTTTTTAATGAGTCATCTGCTTTCTCGGTCAGGATCAGGGTTGTGTCACGCAGCTGCGGCGGTGGGCAGGGAAGGGTGGGTTTCGATGGTTGCAGAGGAACCTGGGTGTCTCGTCTGGGTAGGCAGGGGCTGCAGCAGATCTGTGGTCCTGTCTGGAACGTTCGGCTGCTCCCGGGAAGCAGGGTGAAAGGACTCGCGACTGAACGGGTGATGTCTCGTTGCAGGGGGCTGCGACCTTTCGCCACGCAAGGTGGGCAAAGGCTGCCTGGGGTGACAGCAAAGGCTTTCTGCGCTCTGAGGTTGAGATGAAGTTTAATAGGTAAAGTGAAACCTGGGCATGCAAGCAGGCAAATGAAGGGATTCACTCACTACTTCCCCTCGGCAGGCGGATGTTCAGCCATCCCCAGGGTAGCAGGGCTTCATCACACGTGATGGTGACTTGGGAAGACAGATGCCATAACTCCCAATGTACCCCCCTTCCTCTTCTCTTCCCCCCAGTTCGTGCCACTGAGCACAGCATCGTATGGTCTGGAATATCCCTTGGGTCAGCTGGGCTCAGCTCTCCCGGCCATGTCCCCTCCCCGCTTCGTGCCGACCCCAGCCTACGCGCTGGCAGGGCGGTGTGAGAAATGGCGAGAGCTCGGTTC